AGATGACTTGTAAATAATACGATTGTTTGTACACCTTTTGGACAGTCCAACTGTGGCATTTTTAAATTTTTTTTTTCAACGTTTTTATTTATTTTTGGGACAGAGAGAGACAGAGCATGAACGGGGGAGGGGCAGAGAGAGAGGGAGACACAGAATCGGAAACAGGCTCCAGGCTCTGAGCCATCAGCCCAGAGCCTGACGCGGGGCTCGAACTCACGGACCGCGAGATCGTGACCTGGCTGAAGTCGGATGCTTAACCGACTGCGCCACCCAGGCGCCCCACTGTGGCATTTTTAAAGCCAGCATTGCCACTCTGCAGAAATTCACCAAGAGCTACCCACCTTCAAGACCAGTCTGGTGTGGGGCGCCTGGGTGGTTCAATCAGTTAAGCGTCAGACTTTGGCTCCGGTCATGGCCTCACAGTTTGTGATTTCGAGCCCTGCATCAGGCTCTGTGACTTCTTTTTAAAAGACCACTCTGGTGAAATGACACACAGCTGAGAGATTTCCCAGCTGCAAGAAAAAAGAGTAGCCCAAGGTCATAATTTACCCATCTTGAAGCTGGATGATTTAACACAAAATTTAGCCCGAATTGATTTAGCAGCCATGGGGAAAGAAAAGGAATGTGTTACAATAAATTGTGTGTTAAGGAAATAATATGCAAAGCAACGTATTGTGTAGGGGTGGCCTTCAGTTGCCACATTTCTTGCATGGGTTGACAGTGATTGTTGTTGAGTGGTCCTAAAGAGGAAGATAATGAAGGAAGGTAAAATAAGATACTTCCCAAATAGTTTGCTCTTCAAACTTCAGTTTGGTCATAAGCGTGTAAAAAGGAGAACGAGTTACTAAATGAAATGGAATTGGTCACCCTGAGTCAGTTTCACTGATATTTTCTCCAACATCATCATTATTCATCTCGATGATAAAAAGCACCTAGCTTCCCAGGGGCACCTGGCTGGCTTAGTCAGTGACTCTTGATCTCGGGGTCCTGAGTTTGAGTCCCATGTTGGGCATAGAGATTACTTAATTCAAAAAAAAAATTGGGGGTACCTGGGTGTCTCAGTCAGTTAAATGTCCGACTTTGGCTCAGGTCATAATCTCGTGGGGTTCATGGGTTAGAGCCCCACATAGGACTCCGTGCTGACAACTCAGAGCCTGCTTGGGATTCTTTCTCTCCTTCTCTCGCTACCCTTCCCTTGCTCAAGCTCACAAACTCTCTCAAAATAAATAATCTAAAAAAAAATTTTTAGTTTAATAAAAATAAAAAGCATGTGGGGCACCTGGGTGGCTCAGTTGGTTAAGCATCGGACTTCTTCAGGTCATGATCTTGCAGTTCCTGGGTTCTAGCCTCACGACGGGCTCTGTGCTGACAGCTCAGAGCCTAGAGCCTGCTTCGGATTCTGCATCTCCTTCTCTCTCTGTCCCTCCCCCACTTGCACTGTGTGTGCGTCTCTCTCTCTCTCTCAAAAGTAAATAAACATTAAAAAAAATTTTTTAATAAATAAAATTAAAAGCACCTAATTTCTTAGAATAGTGTATTTGTACAAAAGCTACTGTGTACGGAACACACAGAAGGATATTTGAATAAACATACTGGACCAAAACATGAGTGGGTGGCAAAATACTAAAACCAAAATACAGGCTGTATTCCCTGAGAAGCAAGGAGTTTAAGAGAGGAAAGACATGAAGCTCAGATTCCTGATGCTTCCCATTGCTCTTAATTCCAGCCTATGCCAGATGAAGTCCAGAGGTTGAAGAACATCTAGTTTGGAATGACAAAGCCACTTTCCTGTGGTTCATGAGTCTAATGAAGTCATTAAGGAGAGCTGTCCAATTGCCAGACCCTTTCCCCTGCCACAGTGTTCTATGAGGTCCCTGAGAAGGCTGCTGATGTTAGCTGTCAGCACTAATGTTCTTTCTCTCTCTCTCTCTCAAAATCCTAAACCATATTTCCTGCTATTTACAACCCACGGGTTGTCCACAGCATACTAACCACGTCAAAAGCTGAACTCGTCTTCCTTCCAAAGACATTTCCCCTCCCACATTTCTCAGTTTTCCCAATTAAACTTCCCATCCTGTCCCCCAAAGTTCTCCAGCTCTGGCTCCTCCACTCCCATAGATATTCAAGTATTGCACGTGTTCATTTCTGCACACAGAATTTATATTGTTCACATCATTTGTTCACCTTCACGTGTGTGCCCTTTTTTATAATTTTGCAAATTCAGAGCACCTGGCTGGCTCAGTCAGTAGAGTGTGTGACTCTTAATGTCAGGGTTGTGAATTTGAGCCCCACGTTGGGGTAGAGATTACTTTAAAATAAAATCTTTAAGGGCGTCTGGGTGGCTCAGTCGGCTAAGCATCTGACTTCAGCTCAGGTCGTGATCTCGAGGGTTTTTTTCTGGAGGGGGGGGGTTGTTGTTGTTTTGTTGGGGGTTTCTTTGTTTTTGTTTTATTTCTAGGTTCTTGACTTTAAGCCCCGCAATCAGCTGCTCACTGAGGTCAGTGCAGAGCCTGCTTTGGATCCTCTGTTCCCCTGTTTTCTCTGCCCACGCCCCACTCAATACGTGTTCTACCTCTTTCTCAAAAATAAATAAACATTTGTAAATAAATAAATAAATAAATAAAATCTTTAAAATAATAATAATAATAATAACAATAACAATAATAATAATAATAATAATTTTGCAAACCGATGGTGTCCCCCAAGTGTGTGAGCTACTGAAAGAGAGGAATATTGCTGGTTCAACTATTTTGTATAGTGATGGTGGTAGCCAGCTTGTCATCTTTCCTGTCAATCTTGACTGTTGACACGAAGGTTGTTTTTCCAGCCCCTGGCTTCTACTATTTGATTTGCCAACTGGGAACTATGTAATGGGATTCCAGTGCTGTCTACCTCAGCTGTCTATTTCAGAAACAGCCAAAGGTATACGGAGCCAGGCTTGGGAAAGTGGCATTCAGTCACTATTGCAACTGTCAAACTATAAATCCACAGCCACGTTTTGATTCCATTTCCTGATCTCTGAAAACTACAAGCAATCTGTACGATTGCTTCCTGGACTGTCTTATCTACTTTACAGATGTATTATGAAAATCATGTGAAATCATTTATATACAAGTGTTTTGATAGGTGAAAATGAAGTGTATGAATGCAAGATGGTAATAGTTCCTTACTGTCTTATTGCCCTTGCCTAGTATTTTGGGATCCATTTGTTGGCTTATAGTCAAGGTTCTTTTGTTCCCATCCTTTTTTTGGTTCAGCCCTAGCTATACCACTCTTATTGTTATTGAAACAGCTGCTTTTACTTCTTAAACCAGGATCCACCCTTCCCCTCTTTCAAAGCACAGCTCAGAGCCACCTCCTGTGGAAAAACTTCCCAGTCTTGCAGAAGGAAATGATAAACTTCCAGATAGGCCATTGCACCACTCCCTCAGTTTCCCCCAGTCAGCACGCATTAAGTGTCTAGCCTAGCACACGGTAATGGGCACTTTTGTAGGAGCTTCATCATTTATAAAGCATCCGTACTTACTTCAGTATTTTAAGATGTGATATATTAAGGGTTTTTTTTTTTAATTTTTTTAATGTTTATTTATTTTTGAGAGAGAGACAGAGAGAGAGAGAGACAGAGCAAGAGCAGGGGAGGGGCAGAGAGAGAGAGAGGGAGACACAGAATCCAAAGCAGGCTCCAGGCTCTGAGCTGTCAGCCCAGAGCCAACGTGGGGCTCGAACTCATGAACCATGAGATCATGACTTGAGTCAAGTTGGACACTTAAGTTGTTTTTTTTTTTAAGGTTATTTAATTTTGGGAGGGGGGAGGGGGAGGGAGAGAGGGAATCCCAAGCAGGCTCTACACCATCAGCATGGAGTCCAACTCAGGGCTCATACTCAGGAACCATGAGATCATGAGCTGAGCCAAAACCAAGAGTCACACGCTCAACCAACTGAACCACCCAGGTGCCCCTAAGCTTTTTATGAAAAAATTAAGATAATTGAATTCCCCAAGACAAATAAATTATTCAAAAGAGGGAAGGAGCCACAGATCTGTGTTTTCTATGTACCAATACAGTAGTCCCACCTGATCCACAGGGGATACGTTCCAAGAACCCCAGTGGATACTTATAACCATGGTAGTTCCAAACCCTGTATATATTATGGGTTTTTTTTCCCATATAGACATACGTGTGATAAAGTTTAATTTAAAATCAGGCACAGTAAGAGATTAATAACAATAAAAATCATAACAATATATTGTAATAAAAGTTATGTGAATGTGCTCTCAAAATGTCTTATTGTACCATATTCATCTTTCTTTTGTAGGTGATAAGATAAAGTGAGGTGAAATATGGGCACTGTAACTTAGCGTTAGGCTACTATTGACCTCACAATTTGTCAGGAGTATCTGCTTCTATAGGGCAACTGAATGTGGATAACTGAAACTGCAGAAAGTGAAACCATGGTTAAGGGGGTACTTCTGTACCTGCCTTGTTGCTGCAAGGATTATATTAGACAATATGTGGTGGTAGCCCTTGTAAAACTGAAATCGGATCTTAGCTCCAAGACCTATTCCCCAAGAAAGCCTTCAGCTTTCTCCAGATCAACTTCCCATTATAGCTACAAATGGGTACTTGCCAACACTCATCTTGGAGGACTTCTGACTTCTGCTGCCTTCATTTTGACCTCAAACTTTTTTTTTTTTTAATTGTTTAATGTTTATTCGTTTTTGAGAGGGAGAGAGACAGAGCAGGAGCAGGAAAGGAGCAGAGAAGGAAACACAAAATTCAAAGCAAGCTCCAGGCTCTGAGCTGTCAGCACAGAGCCCAATGTAGACCTCAAATCCACGAGCTGGGAGATCATGACCTAAACTGAAGTCGGATGCCTAACCGACTGAGCCACCCAGGCGCCCCTTTGGTTGGGTTCTTTCCAGCCAGTCTCTTGGCTCAGGTGGAAGACCCTGAGGGCATAGCAACCTCTGAGGAGAATGAAACAACCCAAGCAATAAGCACTGTCCCGAGACACAAAACACCACCCATGATTGACTCTAAGCAAAACGCTGATAGATTTGACCTTCACTGCCCCCCTGCAGGTACTCGCCCACCTTTGCCCCTCATTTTCCTTGTATAAACCTGGAAGTATTTTCAGCGCTTTCAGACACTTGACCTCTGTCTTCCTGGTGTTGGTCTCACTGAACTAAATCCCTTTCTGGTTTCACCACTGTCTGTCTGCCTTTGGATTTTTGTCAGTGGCAAGTGGCCAGAACCTGATCTGTTTGGGATCCCCAGAACCAGGTGCTCTTGCATCCCTGTGCACCTGCTAGAATCTCAACGGTACTGTTACAGTAATGTGGGTGATCATCATTGTCTTCTCTCGCTAGACTGGGGACGCTATCAGAATAGTGATGACGTCTGTTTTGCAGAATCCCCAGCACTTAGTACAATGCTTGCCACATAAGCTCTTCAATTGTGTTGAATAAATAAGGACGGAGACCCAAATTTTCCGATTCATTCTAGATTTGACACCTAGGCTGAGGAAAAACATGTTACAGTGATGCAGAAGACAGAATAAGGGAACTTCTCTAAGATAATGGCATAAATTTCAAAGGACTAGACACCGCTGCGCAGAGATCGCTGGAGCAGCTCAGAACGATTCAGTCTAGGACACGACTTCCACTGAGAATGTAACCAGTACTGACGATTCATACGCAGACCAACCACTGTCGCCTAAATACTAGGGCCGCAGTTTTGTCCCTCTCTTCCGTACAATGGCCCAAGATGGCGGGGCCCGTGATTGAAAACCAGATTCAAGATGGCGGCTTCCGACTTCCCATGCGGCGTAGCGCGTGACACCGGGGCCACGCCCACTTCCGGCTCCGCGGCTTCAGCATGGCTGCTTTAGGTACCCTGCTTTTGAGTAAGTGGGTGTGGAGTCGGTGGGCTCAGGGGCCCGCGGGGGCAGGGCTAGGACCCCTGAGTTGAGTGCACGGCCTCTCTCCCAACTCTGCCCTGTTCTCCCAGCAGGTGTCCGGAAGCTGCACAGTAGCGTGGCGGCTCGGGCGGGCAGTCAGTGGCGACTCCAGTGAGTTACTGGTTTAAGGGGGTCCTGGGGTGCCAGAAGGTGGGCTGAATCCTCACCGAATGTTTTTCTCCACCCAGGCAGGGCCTGGCTGCTAACCCCTCTGGCTACGGGCCCCTTACGGAGCTCCCAGACTGGTCTTACGCGGGTGAGCGCTGATCTGACAGTTAACTGTCCCTAAGAGAGTTTCGCCGAGATGGAACGTCCCTGGACTGAGGGTGGGAGGGAGAAGGGGGTTAAGGCGGGGATGTGTGTGAGTGAACATAGTATTGAACTTTATATTTGGAGTTGGGGAGAAGCAGCCTGGTTACTTTGTATTTTAAATTATGCCTATAGAAAGTGCAGCTAGACAGGATCTTGTGGGGTGAGAAGATAATTCTAACTTGGGGCGCCCCGGGGGAGGGAGTGACAAGATCTTTACGTTTCTCAGGGGCGACGATTTTTAAAAAGGTAGAAAGACCCACCATTCTACCTGGTGAGTACATTGTTGAGAATTTGGTACCAGATGCAGGGAGAACTCTTTGAAAGGCTGCCTAAATGAACATCTCAGAAGAGAGGGGTAGAAGGGTGAGGACTGAGGATGGCGGGCTCCCTTCAGAAAAATTTCTTCCCTTGAAAAAAAAGGAAGGAAGGAAGGAAAAGGAAAGGAAGAAGGAAAAAACAGATATTAGACCTAGAAGGGAGGGATGTTAGAAAAGTTGAAGCCATTCCCCATTCCCTATATGGGACTCCAGTTACAGGTGGGAAAACTGAGGCCTCAGAGTTCCCGTGATCAAACAGCTAGGTAATAGCAAAGCTAGGACTAGAACTGAGCGGGAGCCAGGCACCGTTCAACAGCACAGAGACCTGAATACTAATACCCTATTGGATTCTATAGAAGTGTGATCCTGAAGAGGATGGTGAAGGTTTTTCTGTTCGTTATTTACTGTAGGAAGCCTAGCACCTCCCAGAAGTAGTATGGAATATTGGAAAGACTCTGGAATTGAGTCTTAATTCAGGTTTCTTTACTTGCTAACTTGTAGTCTTGGATTACTTAATTGTATCTCTCAGTTTCCACAAAACTTTTGGGCAGACTTTTCACTGTTTGCTTCTTACTCTGTAGAAAGTAAGTGTCCTTTTTCTTCAGCTCCATTATTAACTACTTCAGGTCAGATATTGCATCTTTTCACCAAGTCAGCAGATATTTATAGAATTTTGATTATGTGGTTGTGTGCCTACCCTGCACTACAGTGAAATCTAGGGATGCAATCCATGAAAGTCTGGCTGGGAAAACGGCATGAGATCTTTAAAAATGAATAATAGTTCAGTGCTCTACCCCTTTCCAAGAGGATCTGAAGTGCCACATAAGGCCAAAACAAAACACAACAACAACAAACAAACAAAAAAAGCAATAGTACAATAAATGTCCCAAGGCAAATAGATGAATAATAAATAACCAATATGCACTTTTTTCAGAAAGAGATTTGACAGAGTTGAAAAGGTTAGAGAATGGTTTCTGGGACAGATAGGGCTTGGGGGGGGGGGGGGCTAAGGATGAGAACTGGGCTGAAAGGAAAGGAAAAGAAGGTATTTCATTATGGAGTGAGATGGGATTCAGCAAAGATTCATGGAGAGTGGAACGGTGATCAGATTGCTTGAGTGGGGGGTTTCTAAAGCTAAAATGAGATTCAGCACTTCAAAGGACCTTGAATTCCAGGACAATGAGGGGTAAGTGAAATCGAGTAGGAGTGTGCCTCAGAGCTTATTCTTGGCATATCTTACCCTTGACACTGAGGGATGGGTTTTGGAGAACTAAGCCATCACAGGTGTGAAAGTGGAAGAAAGGAACTAGAGACTGGTTCTTCCCTTGTCCCTGTCACAGTGCCTTCACAAGGTGCTGTCAGCCATCTCTAATACTTGTCTTTTTTTCTGCAGATGGCCGCCCTGCGCCTCCAATGAAAGGCCAGCTTCGAAGAAAAGCCCAAAGGGAGAAGTTTGCAGTGAGTGGCTAGAGCCCAAGCCAGGGCAACCTGTGTGTACTTGGAGGGAAAAAACTTTACATTTTAATTTGTCTTGAACTGTACTGACACATAAGCTAACTCGTACCCCCATACCGAGGTTTTAACAGCTCAAGGTTTTTACAGTGCTTTGAGGAGGGGGGAATGGAGTGAGCGCTCCGAGGGTGGGAACCAGTGGTAGACCTTCTGCTACACATTCTCCTTCCTCCTACTTCCCAACCCAGGACCTGGTCCCCCTCCCCACTCAACAGTGTCATTTTCCAGCTGAAACTTCTGCCTTTGATCTGTGAGTGAAAGGATATATGTGCAGAGCCCAAGCCCCAGATGTTATCCACCCTGTTTTCCTGTCTGTTTCAGAGACGAGTTGTACTGCTGTCACAGGAAATGGATGCTGGCTTACAGGCATGGCAGCTCAGGCAGCAGAAGTTGCAGGAAGAAGAAGGGAAACAGAAAAACGCTCTTAAACCCAAAGGGGCTCTACTGCAGAACCCACTACCAAGTCAATAAAAAGCAATACCTGTCTCCCTTTCCCAGCCTCTCTCTGGCTTTCTTCTCTATCACCTATATGCCTCATCCTGGTCAGAAGAGAGCCTTCACGTTCCCCATCTGTCTTCCCGGCACAAGAGCTTGGACACCAGAAAGAACAGCCTGTAAGATCACTGCCTGGAAGAGTTGGCTTAGTGCCCTCATCACTGGCTCTGTTCCAATTCAGTGGAACCTCGCTCTGGGATGCTTCCCTCCTTCACGAGCCATAGGACTGGCCCAACTATGAACAGTAGCTGCTCTGCGAACTGCTACGAAAAAGGGGCAGCAGTTTTCCTGGTGTTAGCTAGGCACTCAAGCCTTTAACAGCCCATACACAGCTCAGGCTGTGTGCAGTTACTCATTTAATAAATGTTTTGATAAAAAAGGCTTTCCGGCTGAGGTCCATTTCTTGGCAAGCAACTGGTGTCAGTTTTCCTAAGCTTCAGATACATGGCCCAAGAGGATACCCCCACTGGGAACACTGACATGGGAAGAACCAGACTTGGGCGTCGCATGTTCTGCTAAAGAGTTGGATTCTGAGGTTTCTTTGGTTCTGGCAAAATTCCAGAGGTTGGTTAGAAAGAGGCCTGTACCTCCCAACTGCACTTTGTGTAGGGGGAGCCCTGGAGGTAGGTGCTCAGCCCCCAAACAGTCACCATGCATAGGTATCTAATACCCATCATATATCTCCCACAAACCTGTTAGCTGTCCGGGACCCAGGGAAAGCTTTCATTTAATTGATCACGGATTCTGGGGGAAAAGGACCTTTGCTCCAGTTACAATACAGAGCACTGGGCTTTTCTTCTGTTATCCTGCCACAAACTTGTGATAGTTCCTGGATCTCTAGAATTTCTGGAGCTTCCTACCTGACCTAATTTCTGTCCAGCCTCCTTTATTCCTTGCTTTCTTTCCCTCCCTTCTTCCCCCCCCACAACCTCCTTCCTCTCTCGCTGACCAATGCAATTCTGGGATCTTAGATTTCGCTGATGATCGAGTTTTCTGTCTCCCACACTTTTCCTGCTTCTGTTGTGCTGCTTTTCCAGATCTAACTCAACCTCTTATCTGTCTCTCCCCCACTATCCACTTCAGCGTGCCCTTCCCTTCTCCTGCATCCCTCCACATTTTGTTATCAGTTTAGTCAGTCCCTGAAGACTTTAGTCTTCAGGGAACTGCCTTTTTCCAGTGTAGAGGGGGAGCTAAACCCCCAAAGTCCTAATTCCCAATCTCTCTGGTCTAACAGTTTCCCTAAATTTGATTTGCCTTTCCCCACATTCCATGGCCTTGTACCTCTTTCCTCCCCAGCCTGCTCTAATTTAAGGAGCAGCCAGATTGCAAATGATGATAATTAAGGGAGTGCATTTGTCTTTCCATAAGAACCCCCAGACCCAATGTGGTTGTGCAATTTGTTGGTGGGTGGGTGGATTGTATTACCGTTGCATGTTTGCAGCAGGAGAGGGATGGAGGTGGTTGTCAAGATCCAGGGGCAAAAGTTTCAATTTGGTTGAGCCACAGGTCTCAGCGGACAAACCCCCAACCCAGGTGTCCTGGACATGAAAGACCTTCACCACCGTCATCCTAGACTCTGAACTCGTTTGCGCCAACCACTGGGCTTCCCAGTACTTCCCACTCTGAGGTGAGACAAATGCTGAATACCAGAGGACTCAAGCCACCCAAAATATGCTTAGGGGGAGAAAGTCTCCCACATCCCGTCCGCTGGGTCCCCCCCCCCC